GTCTCTACGGGGAAGGCAGTGCCGGTTACCTCGGAGAAGACTATGACGGACGCTGGGGGAAGAATGCCATATACAGGCAAATGCATACTGATGTTAAATTTAAAAAACAGACCACAATAATGGGAGCTGTTTGCATAAGACGACCGGAGAACGGCAGGGTAACTGTGTAGGCAGCGCACCTGTACAGCTGGTGTCTAATGCGCGAAGGCAGCAGCTCCGGCGTGAGCCCCGGACACACACCCTGGGAAAGGGGAGCGCTCCAGAGGACCACGAGCGGGCAGCTGGCAGGAAGAAGCATCGACTCTGCCCAGCGGACCCGAACGTGCCTTTAAGACGAGTTCAAGAGCCCGCCAACTGAAGTCAGGCGGGCACGAGTTCCTGCCGGAGGAGGTGCGGGCGTGTTTTGGGGGACCCCCAGGCCCCGGCAGGAACAAAGCGAGCTACAGAGGCGGGCGGGGCCTCGAGCTCATAAAACACAAGGCCAAAGCACATCAGCCCGGCAGAAAGCCGAGCGAGCCTGCAAAGAGAGCGGAGGCCAGGCGGCCTCCAGGCTTCGGGGACACCGGTTGCGCGGGTGAAGGGGCCTAGGAAAGCAGACGACACCCCGAGACTTCGGCCCTGGGAGGACGGGGCGCCCAGCCAACCAAGAGGAGGTGCGTTAGAGACACCGGAAGAAAACGCCATGGCTAGGAGCCGCGCGGATACGAGCAGGCCCTACCGTGCCGTCGCCGCTGCAATGCCCTTGTCTCTTCGCAGACCGAAGCTTCAGGACGACCGGCGAGCGACGCGGACGCCTGCCGCAAAGGAAGGCGCAGCACGACGTTTCCAGCGCGACGCCCGGAGCCGGCCTCTCCGCCGCCGCCGAGACCCGGAAACCATAGAAACCAAGCACCTCCAGCTGCGCCTGCGCACCCGGCCAGCCGTGCCCGGGCCGACCTGGAGTGGTAAAACTGACCTCCGCACCGCCCCACCCCAACCTCCCTGGAGGCAGCTTTTAGGGAAGTCCGCTAGGGAGTTCTTGCTGCCACCTAGTTCTGTGCCTGGAGCTGTTATTCGACATCTGTGATGGTCAGCGACTTGGACAGCGTCACACGAGAGAAAGACCATTGATTCCGGCCACCCCAAGGGGTGCTTCAGCCCAAGGGCTGTGAACGCAGACCACGTGGGGCCAGATTCTGGGATAGTGCCTGTTTCCTCATCAGTCAGAACAGCAACACTACCCACAGTAATGGGATTAAGGGAGTTTCCTGGAAAGCGCTGAGGCCCTGGCTTGCACACTGAAAAGACTAAGCCCTTGCAGTTCTTTGATGTCTCAGTTTCTCGTTTGCCCCCTGTGTTCCAGAACCTTCCGTGACTCCCTTTGACTACATCTGAGCCTCCTAAGTGGTGTGGGGCAGGGAGGGGTAACACAGTGTGTGAGATAGGATGCATTGTGCAAATGCAAAGAAAATGCTAGAACATTTATATTTAATCTTTTAGAATTTCAGTGTTCATTGTGTAAGCAATTATAAAATGCGTAACATTACTGCAGTTGTATGTGCAGATAACTTGTGAATAAACATTGGAGGTTTGCACTGAACTCTTCCCTTTTTTAAAAAATTTATTTATTTATTTATATTTTTGACAGGCAGAGTGGACAGTGAGAGAGAGAGACAGAAAGGTCTTCCTTTTGCTGTTGATTCACCCTAAAAAGGTTGCCGCGGCCGGCGCGCTGCAGCCAGCGCACTGCGCTGATCCAATGGCAGGAGCCAGGTGCTTCTCCTGGTCTCCCACAGGGTGCAGGGCCCAGCACTTGGGCCATCCTCCACTGCCTTCCTGGGCCACAGCAGAGAGCTGGCCTGGAAGAGGGGCAACCGGGACAGAATCCAGCGCTCTGACTGGGACTAGAACCCGATGTGCCAGCGCCGCAAGGCAGAGGATTAGCCTAGTGAGCCGCGGCGCTGGTCCACTTTTCCCTTTTTTTTTATTTTTTTATTTTTTATTTTTTTTTATTTTTGACAGGCAGAGTGGATAGTGAGAGAGAGAGAGACAGAGAGAAAGGTCTTCCTTTGCCGTTGGTTCACCCTCCAATGGCCGCCGCGGCCGGCGTGCTGCGGCCGGCGCACCGCGCTGATCCGATGGCAGGAGCCAGGAGCCAGGTGCTTCTCCTGGTCTCCCATGGGGTGCAGGGCCCAAGCACCTGGGCCATCCTCCACTGCACTCCCTGGCCACAGCAGAGGGCTGGCCTGGAAGAGGGGCAACCGGGACAGAATCCGGCGCCCCGACCGGGACTAGAACCCGGTGTGCCGGCGCCGCTAGGCGGAGGATTAGCCTAGTGAGCCGCGGCGCCGGCCACTTTTCCCTTTTTAAATAGTGAACTATTCAAAACCTTTGAGAAGTTTAGTCTTCCTCTCTTCCTAACCTCATTTTACAGAATCCCCTGCCTGATGATCCAACCAAGAACGTGCTGTTCCAGCATATTCCAGGAAGTGTCTTGGGAGTCCAGTCTCCTTGCCCTTTAATTCCGTCCCCTGGAATGACACCATCACCACCCCCAACCCTATTTTTGTGTGCCAAGTTCCAGCTCTGCTTCATGTCTTTGTATGGGGTTTCCCCCAAATGGGTAGGCTGATCACCCACTCTGGAGAGATTCTGAAGGCCCTACAACTCACTGGTTTCATTCTAGCACTCAGATTCTCCCCCGGCCCTGCCCCATCAGCCATGCGCTTCACCTGAAATCTGAGTTTCAGTTCAACTAGAATTTCCTGAGCACCTAATGTATGTCTAGCAGAACACTGGGGAGTGATGTAATTGTAACTCTTGGCCCTTGATCACCAAGAATCTGAGGCAGGGTACCAATGACCATCCTTTCCGATTCCCTCCCTTCCTTGTTAGTGGGGTCATCTTCCCAGGCAGGCAGGCAGGAAATCCTGGGGTTAGAATTTGCAGTTTCCTCATCTTTCATCCACTGTTTAATTATGGCCCCGGTTCAGTCAAATAGTCCTTCACCAAGTTTCCATTTTATTTCTTCCTGTCTCCCGGCTCCCCATTTCATTCAATCTCACACAATTAGTCACCCTCTAGTACAAATCTCATGATACGAGCGTTACTCAGAAATACCACGCAGCGTTAGTACAAACACATGCAACTCAGATGCCTGCAGGGCCAATAATGCTCACTCTAAGGCAACGACAACAAAAACATGCTAAGTGGCCAGTGACACGGGACTTCAGTTTGAGGGATGGTAGACGTGACAAACTGGAGGCCGTAAGTTTTGGTAAAGGTGCAGCTACTCAGTTCTATCTTCTTATTGTTATGAGAGAAACAGGACCGCAAGTTGTCAAATCCTCAGGTTTTTCAAGAGAAGCTAGAATCTGTCGCTGCTTGAACATGACACCTCACACTTTAAAATATATGGCAACTTATTTTTTTCTTAAAAAGTGCTGGTCAGCGCTGGAGGTGTGGCACAGCAGGTTAAGCCATCTCCTGCAATGCCACCATCCCATATGAACACTGGTGTAAGTCCCAGACACCCTTCTGATCCAGCCTGGGAAAGCAGCAGAGGATGACCTGAGGGCTTGGGCCCCTGCACCCACGTGAGACCCGAGGGAGTTCTAGGCTCCTGGCTTCTGGCCATTTTTGGAGTGAATCAGCCAATGGAAGGTCTGTCTGTCTCTCCCCCTCTCTCTGTAACTCTCTCAAATAAATCTTTAGGGGCCAGCACTGTAGCATAGCAGGTAAAGCTGTTGCCTGCAGTGCCAGCATCCCATAAGGGCACCAGTTCGGGACCTGGCTGCTCTACCTCTGCTCCAGCTCTCTGCTATGGCCTGGGATAGCAGTAGGTGATGGCCCAAGTGCTTGGGCCTCTGCACCTGCATTGAAGACCCGGAAGAAGCTCCTGGCTCCTGGCTTCGGATGGGTGCAGCTCTGGTCATTGCAGACAATTGGGGAGTAAACCAGTGGATGGAAGATCTCTCTCTCTGCCTCTGCTTTTCTCTCTGTAACTCTGACTTTCAAATAAATAAATCAATCTTAAAAAAAAAAAAGTGATCAAACCAAACCTATATTAGAAATGGAGTTAGGGTTACCAGATTTCAGCCAACAGATTTGGAGTGAAGTGCAGGTGGACAAAGGACTTTGCTTTGAACTCTGATGGCTCTTTGCACCTGGTCTTGCTCCATTCTTACTCATTTTCCTATTGTTACTTTTTTTTATTCTTTTTAAAGATTTATTTACTTATTTTTCAGTCCCCAGATGGCTGAGGATCTGAAGCCAGGAGCTCCTTCCAAGTCTCCCACGCAGGCCCAGGGGCCCAAGCACTTGAGCCATCTTCTGCTGCTTTCCCAGGCCATAGCAGAGAGCTGGATCACAAGTGGAACAGCCGGGACTAGAACCAGCGCCCATATGGGATGCGGGCACCACAGGCGGCTGGCTTTACCCGCTATGCCACAGCGCCGGCCCCCTATTGTTACTTTTCTAACACTTTAATCATTCCAAAATCACTTCCTGAGCCTTTCTCACAAGCCACAGTCCTCGGGACAAGGCGCAATCCGAGTACTATATGCAGCATGTGATCTTGCTGTTGCAGGAAGAGGAAGCAAGCTGGGAGCCGGGAGTCGTTCGTTCAGCTTGGGCTGTGTGAAGGCTGTTGACGTGTCCAGAAACGGTCACATTTCTTGGGTTTGATGTTCGAGACCTTTTACGATCTGGTTTCTTTCCAGTTCCAAATCCTGATCCAGTCGCTTACCATCCCCGCTCACTCTCGCGTTCTGGGGCATCCAGAATTTCTCTCATGCTTCCAAGCGTTGGAGGAGTCGTTTCTTCTGCTAGAAAGGGTCCCTGCCACTGGCTGCCACCTTCCTGCCGTCTCCCAGGAGAATGCCTGGTCTTGCCCTGACCCAGTTTATCACGCCATTTTCTGGGGAAAACGTCCCTAGTTCTTCGGGCAGTAGGCCTTTGCGAGGTCCGGCCCGGACCACGCCCACCGCCCCGCCCCGCCCCGCCCCGCCCCCGCCGCCAGGCCTCGCGGACAGGCCTTCAGCCTTCGCAGACTGAGAAACTACAACTCCCAGAATCCCTTGCCAGACCCGAGCCTGCGCCGTTGCCATGGCGCCCAAGGCGGGGCAGCCGTGTTCGGGCACTTCCGACGTCACAAGGGAGGTCCGGAGCCGCGCCTCGTCTGGGAGAGTGTGTTCGGCTCTCGCTCTCCCCTTCTCATCGCCTCGTTCTGCAGGATCCTTGGCTTCGTGGAAATGTGCGTTTGTAAAGAAGCCAAGGGATTTTAAGCTCCGAGCTTTCGCCATCTTCCGTTTCGTACTCGGACGTCGAGGCGGCACACGATGGGGCAGCAGGGGTCGCGGCGACGTGCGCTGCCCGACACACAGCCTTGCTACAAACGCGGCCGGCCGGAAGTTCCCGCGCTCTGAGCGAACCTCGAGGTGGCAGGCGGGATCCCGCTCGCCAGACACGTGTCCGTGGCCTCACGCGTGCGCCCCCTTACTCCGAGAGTGGCTGTATTGCTCCTTTACAGGTGGGGCAGGCTGTAACCTAGCGCGTGTGCCTCCGACACCCCTGCCGCACGCCGAAGGAGGACTGGGGAGCTGTGAGTCCCAGCACACTGCGGGACACGGTGAGTTTGGCAGCTCCCCTTTCCCTCCAGGCCCGCACGACAGAGAGCAGAGCAACCTGAGAGAAATGGGCCCTAGGGTCTGGAATGTGATGGAAACCAGGGTGGCCACCTCAATCAAAAAAAGAACGCGCCACTTGTGGGTAGGGGAGCTATCGAGTTGAATAAGTGAAACAGTCAAGAGTCGCTGAGGCTAACTAGATGGGGAAGGCAGTGCCAGGCGCACAGCGGAAGGCACCGACGTCGGTGAACGCTCCGTCCCTAAAAGATTGATTTATTCGAAAGGCAGAGTTACAGAGAGAGAAGAAGGAGAGGCAGAGAGCCTTCCATCCGCTGGTTCACTCCCCAATTGGCCCCAACAACCAGAGCTGCGCAGATCCGAAGCCAGGAGCCAGGAGCTTCTGCCGGGTCTCCCAAGCAGGTGCAGGAGCCTAAACTCTTGGACCATCCAGAGAGCTGGATCGGAAGTGGAGCAGCCCGGTCTCGAACCGGCGCCCATATGGGATGCCGGCGCTTCAGGCCAGGGCGTTAGCCCGCTGCACCAGAGGCCCCTGCCTCTTGATTTTAATTAGGCTTCCCAAGTGTTAAGACTACAGAAAGCACACACACTAGTGAGACCAAAGGGACACTCTAGCTCCTGACACATTCTCATCATAAATTAACACACTAGAGCCTCATTTTATAGACACAGCTTTATTAAAAATTGAGTCCGCATTCCCCGCACAGATCAAAAGTACCTGGAGAGAAGCTGCCAGGGCAGCTGAATAGACTAGAAAGCATCCTGGTCTCTGCAGACACAAAACACCCAGCACGTTTTAATCGCACTTCCGCCAGACTGTGAGCTTCTCACGGGGGGAGGCAGCTTGGTTTACACTGGCGGCAGAGACCCTGCACAAGGCTTATTCATCTGATCTGGGAGTTACTACCCTGAGGAGTAGCAGCCGCGTAATTCATGTAACCATTTAGCACTGAAGAGACAGCAGAAGTAATAGATCAAGTTAATACCAGGAGTCAGTAGTATGCTGGGAGTCATCTAGACACACATGTGCACTATACGACTCTTTGCCATAAAGTGAAGTGCTAAGTTTTCCTCAACACAGTTCAGGTGCTGGTTACTCTCACTTTACTTTCTTCACTTTTAAGTCTTGGATTAGTGTTTACTGGTTTGCCTGTCTTGCCTCACAGGAAGTCTGTTCTTAAAACAGCATTTTGGGCCGGCGCCGCGGCTCACTAGGCTAATCCTCCGCCTTGCGGCGCCGGCACACTGGGTTCTAGTCCCGGTCGGGGCGCCGGATTCTGTCCCGGTTGCCCCTCTTCCAGGCCAGCCCTCTGCTGTGGCCAGGGAGTGCAGTGGAGGATGGCCCAGGTGCTTGGGCCCTGCACCCCATGGGAGACCAGGAAAAGCACCTGGCTCCTGGCTCCTGCCATTGGATCAGCGCGGTGCGCCGGCCGCAGCGCGCCGGCCGCGGCGGCCATTGGAGGGTGAACCAACGGCAAAGGAAGACCTTTCTCTCTGTCTCTCTCTCTCACTGTCCACTCTGTCTGTCAAAAAATAAAAAACAAAACAAAAAAACCAGCATTTTGGGGGCCGGTGCTGTGGCGTAGCGGGTAAAGCCACCACCTGCAGTGCTGGCATCCCATATGGGCACGGGTTCGAGACCCGGCTGCTCCACTTCTGATCCAGCTCTCTGTTATGGCCTGGAAAAGCAGAAGATGGCCCAAGTCCTTGGGCCCCTACACCCGTGTTTGGGATCTGGAGGAAGCTCCTGGCTCCTGATCAGCTCAGCTTCAGCTGTTGGGGCCATTTGGAGAGTGAACCAGTGGGTGGAAGACCTCTCTGTCTTTCCCTCTCTCTGTAACTCTGCCTTTCAAATAAAATAAGTCTTTAAAAAATTAAAACAGCATTTTGGGGCCAGAGCTATGGGATAGCAAGCAAAGTGCCATCTGCAGCACCAGCATCCCAGATGGGCACCAGTTCAAGTCCCGGCTGCTCCACTTCTGATCCAGCTCCCTGCTAATGCACCTGGGAAAGCAGCAGCAGATGGCCCAGTGCTTGGGCCCCTGCCACACATATGGGAAGGCTGGATGAAGCACTTGGCTCCTGGCTTCAGCTTTGCTCAGCCCCAGCTGTTGAGGCCATCTGGGGAGTGAACCAGCAAATGGATGATCTCTGCTTCCTCTCTCTGTGACTCTTTGAAAATAAATTGATAAATCTTAAAAGCAAAAATTGAGCATTTTACAAGCTATCATTAAACTCATGCTATCTTCTGATAAATTTAAAACTACCACAGCCATTTTTTGTATTTAGTTTCAAAATTAAATATACCTATCTTCGTGGTAGTAATGAAAAACCTAACACAAGCTACTTATAAAGGAAAGAAAAGCTTACAGTGCAGTTTCAGAGGTTCAAGTACAAGACTGGGTGGCCCCACTGGCTGGATGTCGGGTTAGGGGGCAGATGGCAAAGGTGAGCACTTGTGAAGGATGGATCACATGATGTGGAGAGAACAGGTGCTCCCCCCACCCCCTCCACCCCCGTAAGCCTTTCATGGCCAACCCTCTGGCAAGAACCTCCCTGTGAGATGACCTAAGGACCTCCCACTTGATCTACCTCCTAAACACCATAACTTTTGGGGTTTAAGGTCCTATGTGAGTTTGGGAACTAAAACATGTTCAAACCATAGCAGGAAATAAAATACTTGGTCATTTTGAGTATTTATCTCTCCCCATCCTTGAAAATCACTTTTCTGTAAGAGCCAGATAAGATTTTCAGCTTTTTGGCCCATACTGTGGTCTTTGCTGTACCTACTCAGGCCTGGAATTGCAGTGTGAGAGTGATCACAGATGCGAACGGATAGGTGTGGCAGTATTCCCATAAAATTTTATTCCCCCACTTTGCACACATCTGCTTTAGAGAGTATATCACATACATGATGTGGAGTAACTAAAACATTACTGCATGCATTTGTCACTCACCTTTGTTTCCTCAAATACTTAAAAACAGAGACTGTATTAAAAGAGACTGTGATGTGGGGTACTCATGCTGTTCATACTGGAAAGTCAAGATCACTCCTGGGGCTGGCGTTGTGGCACTGGTTAATGTCCCAGCTGCTCCACTTCTGATTCAGCTCTCTGCTAATGGGCTGGAAAAAGCAGCGGAGGATGGCCCAAGTGTTTGGACCCCTGCTACCACATGAGAGACCCAGATGAAGCTCCCGACTCTGGCCTGGACCCGTGCTGGCCGTTGTGGCCATCTGGGGAATCAACCAGTCTCCCTCTGATATTAAAAATAAATAAATCCTAAAAAAAAAAAAATCTAGTAAAGCCAGGAAGATCTGATTTGGGTCTTTAGATCTGATCATGACCACTGTAAAGAAATGTGCTTCAATGTTAAAGTGCATATTCCATACCCCATACTTTGTTTACAACTATTTCTTGCATTTGAACATAAAACCCAATGATGTATATACTATACGTGCTCATTTTACAGGTAAGGAAACAAGCTGAGAAGTGTGGCACGGTCCAGATACCAAGTCAGTGCCAGGGCAGAGACTAACTTCCAGGGCTGCAAACATCCACAGGCCCTCGTTTAACTACCGCACCAGCCACTCCACCCTCCACATGAGAAAGGCTTCCCCAGTGCTCTTCCCTTGACTCTCTGACCCAGGCAGGGACACTTACTCCTTTCTGGAAGTTGTCCTTAAGTTTAAGTCCTAGAAACTGGGTCTTGGAGAAAATCTTGGATTCATCTTCTAGGCACCCACATTCTGTCCCAGAATTTTTATTATTATTTATTTGAAAGAGAGAATCAATCCTTCATCTGCTGGTTCATTCCTCAGTTGGCTGCAACACCCAGGACTTGGCCACGCCAAAGCCAGGAGCTTCTTCCAGGTCTCCCATTGTGGACAGTAGGGGCCCAAATACTTAGGACATCTGCTTCTTTCCCAGGCCATCAGCAGGGAGCTGGATTGGAAATAGAGCAGCCAGGGCATGAACCATATGGGATGCTTTACACACTACACCACAACACCGATCCCCAGGAAATGTCTTTTCTGTGATTATCAACACTAAACCAATATGTCTCAGGAGACCCCCAAATCCAGAGGGCTGCCATTATCGTAACAGAATAGCCCACCAACACTGACTGCAGTGAGAGGGTGCCATTTTCCTTACCAAAAGCTGCTCAACTTCCCAACCCGAAGTTAGCATGGGGAGGGGACATGTCCAGTAGTAGGGGAGACACCACGCTGGTCTGGAAGACTTCACCGAGGCAGTTTCCCATCCCTAGTCCAGCCTTCACAACTTTGGAAAGCTCCCACCGCTGCCTTGGTGTGACAGTCCCACTGCAGGGCCACTCCCACGCTCCTCTTCCAGGAACCAGTGACTAGTCCAGAAAAAGAGAGAAAACAAATGGCCCTTGGTGCAGTGAATCAGCTGGAAGCACCCAGGTGTTCTCGTTTTCTCTTGAAGAGCAGCTCTGGAAGCATTTGGCAGCTCCCCTGCAGTGTGAGCTGCTGAGGGTTGGCAGGCATGGCTGCTGCATCAGGGGTGGCTCTGTGCACCTGCTGCTGGCGAGGGCTCAGGACAGGAGCCGTGCCCAGGGTGGGCTCTGACGCCGTCCTTGCGGCCCTCCCAGGGCTAGGCAGGGCAAGGTGGCTGTGTCAGACGTCTCTGCTCCTTTCATACCAACTCTGAGGCTTCCTGCCAGGCAGTGCTCCAGCGTGGTGTTGGTGAGGGACAGGCTGGATGCAACTCAGTTTGACTGGAAGGTCACAGCTCCAGGGAGTCGGGCAGCCTCACCTGCCTAGGGTAATTCTGTGGGGCAGTGCACTGCAGTTGGTGTGCTTCTGAGAGCTGGCAGGGAGCTGGTTCTGGTCAGTGTGGATCAGCGCGGTGTGGTGGAATGAGCTGCATGACAGCTGGGTCCTGTGGGTGTCTAGCAGAGGCTGGAGGCTAAGTAGGTACATGAGCTTCCCTGCAAGAGAGGTCCCTGCAACCTCACG